GGCCCCACTGGCTTATCACTGAACTCTGATTCCTGTACCTGAGGAAACTTCCCAGCGCCCCCTCCATGGAACCGTGGTCTCTGGCTTCTTTGTGTGTGTGTGTCTCAGTCTGCTCAGCTGCTGTAACAAAGTGCCATCAACTGGGGGCTCGAACAGGAGGCTTTCATTTCTCATAGTTCTGAGGGTCCCGAGGTCAGGGTGCCAGCATGCTTGGGATCTGGTAAGAGTCTCTTTCCTGGCTCACAGACGGCCACCTTCTCACCATGTACCCCTACAGCTTTTCCTCACAGCACGCACATGGAGAGAGCTCTGTCTTCCTCTTCTTATAAGGGCACCAGTCCCATCATGGGATCCCAACTTTGCAGGCTCACCTAAATCTAATCACCCACAAAGGCCCTGCCTGTGGATACTGTCACATTAGGGGTTAGGGCTTCAACATACGAATTTTGGGGTGGACACAAATATCAATCCATAACAGTGCTCTTCTTCCAGATGCATCTTCCCTGGATGGGCTCTGTCTGGGGTGGGGGCCAGTGTTGCCCAGATGACAGCTGGAGGAGGCCAGCCAGCCTAGGGCAAAACCCCTGGGGAAGGAGACGCCCCTCTTCAGAAGACTGTGGGCACATAATGTAGCCTCACTGGCCTCATTTCCTTGTCTGTAGAAATGGGGGTGATGGTACCCCCCCAGTCATCATGAAGTGTGAGAGGCCCAATGACAGGGCGACTCTCAACACAGGGCCTGTACCCGCAGAGGACTTGGCTTACGGTAGCCAATAGCCCCATGTGGGCGCATTTAATCCTCTAAAAAATGCCACCAGGCAGGTGCATCACATCTTATCTTTAAGGCAACTGAGGCTCAGAGAAACGAAGTGGCTGAGCCAGCATTATCACTGCAGAGAGAAGCGAGGGGGTGGGCCGCAGGCAGTGGGGGTCACAGCGGCTCCAGTCACCTCACTCCCTGGCAGCGTGAACTTACCAGTTTTTCAAGGAGGCAGGTGGTGTCCCTTCTAAGCAGGTGTTCCCCACGTGGGATGTGGGGGTAGGGGTACCATCACTGCCCCACCCCACAACGCACAAAGACACGCACACACTGCGATATGCGCAGGGACACAAACACACGTACATACAGAGGGACATGGGACACATACCCGTGGACACACAGGGACATGGAAACATCTAGAACGACATACAGAAACACAGGAACATGACCCACACATGACACAGAAACACAGAGACATATACGCAGGGGACACACAGGGACACATACACGGGGACACACAGAGATCAGGATCCATACACTGACAGGGATACACACACACAGACATGCCTGCCTACATGGGGACACACACAGAGAGACACAGAGACGCATGGATTCTCTTTCGCACAAACACACTCCTGTGGCCCCAAGGGGCTGGCTCTTCTGAGTCACTGTCCCCTAGACCTCGAGAAGTATGGTGCTACCCTATCCCGGGGTCCAGCGGGTTCTGGGTCTCTCCTGCAGCTCTACCCAGGGGTGTTTGCACAAGATGCTGAGGCAAAGGGACAGTCCTTTCCAGCCACCCGACTTCATGCCATCTTTAGACCATAGCCCACAATGCCATGGGGCCGTGAACCGGTGCAGCCAAGCTGTGACCCAGCCTGTGTCCCCTGGAGGACCTGACCGGCGGGCCGCACTGGATGTTGGTGCTGAGGACTGGGCTGGTGAGCATTTCCGAGAGGGACGTCTCCTGGGCAGGCATTGGCCTCCCGGCTCTACACTGGTCCCATGTGGGCTGGCAGGGCATCTCTGCAGAAGCCAGGGATCTGAAGGAGGCCCAAGTGATGGCCGCAGGGTCCGGCAGCCCTTCAGATGCCTCAGTCAACGGGCAGAGCAGCCCCTCACAAACTTGCTGTTGGGCTGCAGCTTCTTCATCCCTCCTTCATGTTTGTCCTCCTCCCCGGTCATCTGTCCTTGGCCTTTCTCTTTCCTGAAATGGTATCTGTGCCAGTAGGAATTTGTTGTTTCTTCACGGGCCTGTTTCAGCAGCAGGATCCCTCCTCACCTGGGGCTTTGGGCTGGGCTCTGAGCAACAGAAAGCATCTACCCAGGCCCTACCCAGCATCTACACAGCCCCTAGACTGTGCATCGGGGTGGGACCACCAGCCTTAGGAGTCTGTGCCTCAGGACTACCCCTGGGCCTGGGGAAATAATAGTGTGATGCCTGCACCCCCCCCTCCCTCCCACTGCCCTCGCCTACTGCCCTGCCGCTCCCCTGACTCCGTCCCTCTGCTGGGGTCCAGGCTGCCTTTGTGGATTTGCTGGTGGTGTAGTTGGGGGCCTGTTTTCCTAGGGCTGGGAGACCCCTCCTACCCATTTGCTGGTTTTATTCTGTTCCGGCATGCTGGAAGACCCCAAGGTGGCCTGGGGTTCAGAAGCAAGGCCCAGTGCTTCCTCCAGAGAGAGGGCAACTGTGACGTGACAGGGAAAACTCACAGTGAAAGAGCCTTACTCTGAACGTAGCCACTGTTGTCCACCACCCGCACTCTGCAAGGGTCTGGCAGGGGACACGCACGACTCACATGCTCTGGACGGCCCTTGGAGACAGAGCGTGGCACAGAGCAGGGCTTGGACTGGGATGCTTTGGGGGCAGTGGGCTGGCTAGGAAGTGTTGGGGCACCCTTGGCTTTGGGGCTTCTCTCAGATGAGGGTTTGCATAGGCAAGAGTTCACGGGGAGGGGCCTGGCGACCGTCATAGTATCAAAATAAAGTCTGCCTCTCAGAGCCTCCCAGGGCTGCAGTCTGAGCCCCAGGGGGGGCCGTGTGCTCCTCCCTGTCAGCCTTGTGTCCCCTCCACACAGCAGGGCAGGTGTGTGGGCTGCCCCAAGCATCAGGGTAACACTCAGTAATCTTGTGGAGGATGAATGCAGCGCTTCAGCTGAATGTGTGAGCAGCAGGACCTTGCAGGGAGAGAGGGTGGGCCAGCCGAGGGGTGGAGAGGGTGGTCGCTGCTGGGATTCTGGGCATTTCTGACCTGCTGGCAGAGGGGATGAGCCCACTTCTGAGCTGGACGTGGGGGCCCCCTGCTGGTGGTGGCCAGAAGCTCAGCCCCTTTGTATGGAGAGAAGATCCATGTCCCCTCACGGAGAGTCCCTTGGTCCCTGCCTCCTGGGCTGGAAGACCCTCTGTCATATCCCTGCTGCGGAGACGTCTGTCCGTTCATTCCTCTGGGACTTCAGGGTCCCAGGAGCCTTCGCAGACCTGCTCCCTGACCAGGACCCAGCTGTCAGGTTTGCCCTAGGCTTTGCCCCAGGATCTCCAGCTCTGTGTGGACATTTCTCCAGGTGCACACACTTTCTTGCTTCCTGTGGGCTCCAGTGCCAGGTGGGCTGTCTGCTCCCGGCAGGCAGGGAGAGGGTGAGTGACCATGAGTCTTGGCCTTGGCACGCAGGCCGTCCTCCAGCCTTTCCAAAACTTAATGCTCTCCCGTTTAAATCATTGGCTCCCTGGAGCCAGGGGCCAGCTGGCCATTGTGAGCCGAGCTGAATGTGACAGGGACGTGTGGCCTTTGCACCTGGGAGTGTTGGGGCCCAGCCCAGGCTACACTTGCTTCTGGGTGGCTCTGCTGGCTCCAGCTCTTGCAGAGAGTCTGGGAGAGTTCAGGGAGGCCCAGGCTCCTCGAGAGGGCTCTGAGGCTATAGGTGGCCGTGGAGCCAGGTGTGGGCCTGCCAAGCATATGTGGGGGTGGGGGTTGGGGATACCTCCTGCTGGGGAGATGCTCTGGGTCTTTGCCCACTCCGATGTATGTACCTGATCCTCCAGACCCTTCCCTGGCCATCACAGTGAGGAGCGGGGAGTCTCTAGAGGGCCTTCCCAGAAGCCAGGGTGGCTGGGTTCCTGCTAAGCATCTGGTCTCTCTCCTGTGTGCTTTTGAGTTCCCAAGACAGAGACCACCAAGCGTCTCCGCTTGCTCACTCACTGTGCTGTCTGGAACAGGTGGTAAACCTCTCCGAGGCTCCCATTTCTCATCTGTGAAATGGGCATAAGGACCTGCCCACAGAGTGTTGTGGGGATCACATCCGATGATGAGGCCATGTGCTCGCACCGCATACCTGGAATGTGCATGGGGAAGGCTCGCCATGTCAGCCTCTCATCCTGTTTTTGAGTCCTTGGCACGGCATGGCGTTGACCCTCATGAGGTGCTGGGTGCTCTTTTCCGGATGAATTGCCAACTTACCTTGGTGTGCCATTCAGTAGCCCCTGGAGCTGTGAGCCAGTGGGAGTGTTCTTGTCTGTCCCATGAAGCACGCAGGTGCCAAGGCACGTGGCTTGCTGGCAGGCCAGTGCCTCCTGTCCTCCTGCCTGGGCTAGGCCCAGTGGGCCCTGGGCAGGTCCCCTCAGACTCAGGCTGCAGGTATCCAGGCATCCTATGTGGGCTTCTGCCCATCAGTGGGCACTGACCCTAGGAAACCCAGGGCATGGGGTCCCAGCTGTGGGCCCCCTGCTCGGCCTCCTGCCGCCCTCAGAAGTAAGCTCGGCCTCTCCTGTGACTGTCAGGCTGTCCCCTTCTTAGAGCGCTCCGGGCCCCCACCTCCTCCCCGCTCACCAGGCTGCCCCACCCGTGCTCTTCTCGCTGTGGGCCTCTGCTATGATAGCCCTTCTGCGAGACTGTCCCTCCCGTGGCTGGCCTCTTGCCCATTCTGGGTCTCCACTCGCTGCCCCACAGAGGCAGGGACCACCCTGCTCACATCGTTTTCCCTGCAGACCACTGACATAGCTGTGATGTCCCCCTCCCCAGCCTCCAAGCCAACAGCTGGTACCCTGTCCACTCACTGTCCTCCAGAGGCCAAGCACCCAAGGAAACTTGCTGCAAAGAGGAAAGCGTAGAGTGTGTGTTCGCTGAGACGGGGAGCGCTGGAGACTGGGTCTGAGAGTGGGAGGCTAAGGCAGTGAAGCTCCCCAAGCCCCCCCAGCCCCCCCGCTGGCCCGCTGCCCTAACTCGAGCCCCCACTCCACCCCACAGCACCGGCAGCTGCTAAAGGACAGCTTCATGGTGGAGCTGGTGGAGGGGGCCCGCAAGCTGCGCCACGTCTTCCTGTTCACCGACCTGCTCCTCTGCACCAAGCTCAAGAAGCAGAGTGGAGGGTAAGTGCCCACATGGCGCCCATCCCGTGGGCCGGCCAGGACTGGTTTCATAGATGAAAGAAACCTAGCTTTTTTTTTTTTTTTTTTTTTTTCTCTCGTATAGTGAGCCTAAAGAGTTCGGTAACTATGTGGCCAGGCCACTTTCTTTAGGTTACATTGTTTCCAGCCGGCCACGATACCAGGCTCAGGGTGAAAGGCCACCATTAACAAGGTGGGGACAGTCTAGGTCAGGATCAGTGACCAGCCTGTTATCTCCTACAGTGGAAGGGGAACCTACCTATGAGGTACTACTGGGGGACTGTCCCGTCATGACCGAGGAAGAGTAAGTGACAGGTCAGGGAGCTGCAAGATCTGGTGCAGACAGGCAGGTGACGGAGTGGAGCAGGGCGGGCATCACTAGACCATCCCTGTACTTTGTCTCCCCAGACCAGGTGAGAGCTTCTAAATTATTCTCAGCCTAGGCTACAAACCGCCCCACCAACACACCCCTCCTCCCGGGGATCAGACCACCCAGGTTGCACCAGCTGGAATGGAAAAAAGAGGTCATATTGAGAAAGACCAGAACTGGGCTCTTTCCCTCATTCTGCCGCTACCGTACTGAGAGCTTTAAATCAGTCATCTCGGAGGACAGCTTCAGTTTCCCCTTCTGTCATGGCAGGGGATTACCCCCGGTAGATCTGTAGCTCCTCAAACTCTACGGCTCGGGGGGCGTCTGCAGTCCTATCCTGTAGGGCAATGGATGCCCCTGATGTGCTCCCACCTCAGGGAGCCCGTGAGCCGCCACCATCAACCCAGGATAAGGTGGATCAGGCCTAAGTCACACATGCAAAGTGCCCATTGCTAGGGGTCACCAGGGCTGGGTCACCAGTGTTGGCCGATGGCCTTATGCCAGCCTGTCACATGGACCACAAGCTGGGTTGAAGGTCTTATAAACTATGCAAGCCTCAAACTTAGGCTTTCTTGGCTCTTGAGAACAGTGACATTAGCAAAGAAAAGCAGTCCGCGTGTTAACGTGCTGTTTCCTCACCCAGCAAAACCCAGCAGTATGACTGCAAGTGGTACATCCCACTCACGGATCTCAGCTTCCAGACGGTGGACGAGTCGGAGGCGGCTCCCAGCATCCCTCTGGTGCTGGACGAGGAGCTGGATGCCATGAAGATCAAGATATCCCAGATCAAGAATGATATCCAGAGAGAGAAGGTGAGACCAGTTGGGAAGGAGCAAGGGTAGGCCCTGCAGCTGGAGCGGCAGCAACCCCTCGAGCACGGGTATCTGGGTATCTGACCTCCTTCTGGCCTCGGGGACGTGCTGGGACCCCTGCGGGCCCACCGTCAGGCTTGGAACCATCCAGCGTGTGGGGTGGGGGAGGTGCCCAGCTGCACTGATGCGGAGAGAGTCCCAGATAGGGGCATCAGCCCCTCTAGGTGTTCTGGACTGCCCCAGGCAGGCCCCTGATTGTTTCTGGAGAGGGAACGGTGAGGATGAGGCATTCGCATAGAGGGTTACCCCGACCAGAGCCGGCACCATGCGGTGGCCACAGACAAGGTGGGTCCCCAGAAGGTTGAGCTTCGGTTCAGGGATGCCTGGCTGAGGTGGGCTCAGCAGGACAGGGGTCTTCCTCACCCCTCCCCCACCTGCTGGCCTACCATACCACAAACCCTGTAGGCCGAGGAAGGCTCTGGGAGCAGTGGGGACGGGACCGGGTGGCACTGGGCCCCCAGAATGGAAACGTGACTGTGTGGCCTCTCCCCACAGAGGGCAAACAAGGGCAGCAAGGCCATCGAGAGGCTGAAGAAGAAGCTGTCAGAGCAGGAGTCGCTGCTCCTACTCATGTCCCCCAGCATGGCCTTCAGGGTCCACAACCGCAACGGCAAGGTGAGCGCCCGCCGCGGTCTCGCTCAGCCAGCCGGGGCCTCCCGCTGCTAGCCCAGGCAGACCCTCCTGGCCCCCGGCTCCCATCTAGCTGGAACCTCGCTGTGCTGTGGCCGAGACCCAGCACCCGGCCGCGTGGCAGCTGGGTTCCCTGGCTCCCTTGTGGGCTGTACAACAGCAGCCCTTTTCCTCTGGAGGGCGTTCCCACACCGAGAGGGGCTCATTTGGTATGGCTCCCCCAGACCCGTGTGTCCCTCTGCCTGGTGCTTTGGGCCGAAGCCCCCAGATTGACAGGCAGCTGGCTCAGCCCTCACAGCTGGGAGGTAGTGGGGTCTCCAGGAAGTCTGAATAGGGCAGGGGGTTCACAGGTTTGTGCAGACTTGGCCCTCAGGACAGGGATTCAGTCTGGGGACCTTGTGGGCCTGAGGGGGGACCTTCTCTCCTGAGTCTGACTCCTAATGCCATCTGGAGCCTGGGCCTCTCCCTCTCTGGGCATCGCTCATAGCTGTCAGCGCGCAGCCTAGGGGGAGGCAGCTGGGGGCTTTGCGAGAGCCTCGTCTCTGGGTCACCGCTCAGAGCTTGTGTGCTGGACACAGGTGGTCAGGGTGGCATTGGCCCTCACCTCTGCAGATCCCACCTGGTGACCTTCTCTGTGGCCCTAAGCCAAACATGCCGTGCCGTGGCCCAGGCAGTCCAGGCAGGGGACCGGTGCCAGAGGAAGAGCTGCACGGGCCACGGGAGCTGGGGCCTGAAGCCCGGCTGGCAGGAAGGGTGGAGAGTGCCAGAAGCACGAGCCAAGCTGTGAGCACACTCAGCCACCAGGCTCCAGCCAGCCTCTGGCACCCAGGTCCCTGTGTCTTGGAGGGGTGCACTGCCGGACTCTGTATGGACAGCAGCAGGGAGCGGCACCTGAGCGGGAGCAGAGGTAACCAGGGTGTGTGTATTCTCCTTCTCGCCCCCCAGAGTTACACGTTCCTGATCTCCTCTGACTATGAGCGTGCTGAGTGGAGGGAGAACATCCGAGAGCAGCAGAAGAAGTGTAAGTGGCATCTGCAAGGAGAAACTTGGAACCTCAGGGCTGGATATTCATCTCCTCCTGTGGTTTCAAGCCTTTTCTTGCTTCCCGAGGGGCTGGGCAGTGGTGCTTTTACTCCAGTGAGATGCTACGTGAGCTCTGATTCAGAAAATAAATTGGACAGGAGCTCCTGCTAGGGCCCTGCCCTCTGTGCCCGCTTTCCTAGGCCTCCCCCGCATTCCGTATACATCACCCCCACCTGCTTTCTGACCTTCCCTGTGAACTCTCCCTCTCCCTCTCCCCCAGTGCCTTCCCTAAATTCCCCACCTGCCTCCTGAACCTCCCTACTCTGATGCCTACCTGCCCCCTGTGGCCCCTCTGCGCCCTTGCCTGTCCCACCCCCAGGCCTCCCTCACCCTCTAGCAGGTGCTGATGCCGAAGGGGCCCTTGGCTGGACCCCCTTGGACAGGGAGTGGGGCCAGCACTTGATCACTCTTAGGATAGGGTGCTCACTCTCTCTGGGATGGTCCCTTCCCTGGGTGCTTCCCTCTCTTAGCAGTTCTCTCCCCCTCCTGAGCTCAGAGCTGGCCCTGGGCCTGTCTGGCAGTCTTCAGGGATGGGAAGGCAGACCCTGCCGTAGGTCCTGGGGCTGCAGCTGCTTGGGTCCTTCCCCTGCACCCCAGCTGTATGGTTCGGGACTCCTGAGCCGTCCTTGCTGAGAGGTTCCCAGATGTGCTGCGGGTGGCACTGTTCCGAGAGTGCCTGCAGAGAGAGCCGGGCTGAGCACTGTGTCCCGGGTGGGCTGGGAGCTCCACACGCCTCTGCCCTGTCCTGAGCTTCCATCCCTCTGGGCTTATCATCCTTGCCTGTGCTGAGCCGTTTCCCCCTGCAGTGCCCCTGCATCCTGGGGGATGAGGCACTCCTGGTGCCTGCTGCCCTGCCCCGGCTCATGTCCTGGGTTTGCTTTTATAACCAGGGAACCCCAACCATTTGCAGCATGGCAGCGTCTATTCCCTGCTCAGTGCTGCAACAGAAATAAGCCCCTTTTCCTAACCTGGTGGAGACAGGGGCCCTCATTGGCGCAGGGCGGGGATATGCTGGGTGTCTGTGTGGGAAGATACTCCCGGTCATCCTCTCCCAGTTGCCTTGTGGCTGTGCTTAGGTGCAGGCCAGCTCTTATGTTTGCAAGTCTTAGGCTAATTCCTCCTGCCCTCTGAGCCCAGCCTTGGCCAAGGCCACGCCTTGCTTGGCCACTTACCAGCTCCTCTCTTGGGAACAGGTCGCCCCCTCCTGGCCACCACAGCTCATCACCAGGGTGTGGTGAAGGTCCAGCGCAGGGACATCAGAGAACACCCTCTGGGTGTCCCAGCAGTCTGAGAAGCCATGCACACTGGCTGGTTGTGATGCACTGGGTTCTACCCTCTCAGGTTTCAAAAGCTTCTCCCTGACGTCCGTGGAGCTGCAGATGCTGACCAATTCGTGTGTCAAACTTCAGACCGTCCACAGCATTCCACTGACCATCAACAAAGAAGGTGGGCTGTCCTCCCAAGGGCTGCTGTCCCTTTCTGCTGTCAGGACTGTCTTTGGGACCGTGGGTTTCTCGAAGGAATGCGTGTGCTGCTTAGGGCCTGTCGGCCTCTCCCAGGAGTGGATGGGATGGGTCGGGTGGTCTATCTCCAGCTGCTGGATGGTTGAGGAGACCCGTGACTTTATTCCTGGTCACACGACACATCTCAGACCCTCTGTGCTCTGGGTCTGGTCCCGCTGCCCTGTCCTCCCAGCCAGGCGCTTCCTGTCCACACCTTTGGTCATGCTGCATTTTGCGTTCACTCGTGCACACACTTGCGTCCACTCATTCCCACTCACAGGTATATGCTTGTGCACATGCATGTACACGCACAACATCCATGTCACATGCCACCCCTCCGCTTTCCTGTCCTGGGAACCTTATTATGTTTCACCTCAGTCACCAGTCTGCCGTGTTGCAAACCCAACTCAGATCCTAAGGTCCCTGAGACAGAGGCTACAATGGATATGTTTCTGGCTCGTGACATCACCTGGCCTCATGCTGAGCAAATGGCAGTCACATGGTGCTCCCCTTGAGGGTTGATTTTGAAGCAGAGCCTGTCACTCGCCTCCCTCTCTCAGGAGAATGGATGCTCACCTCTTTGCTCTCTTGCACAGATGATGAATCTCCAGGGCTGTACGGGTTCCTGAATGTCATCGTCCACTCCGCCACCGGCTTTAAGCAGAGCTCAAGTAAGTGCTTAGTTTGGGGAGGAAGACGGCAGGACACTGAGCTGGTGGCTGTGAGGAACCAGGGTCATGACTCAGATCATGCGGGTTGACACCCGGAGTGGATTGTTGCGGATCTCTGGTCTCTAGTCTCTAGACCAGATGTAGGAGCTGCTGAGCTGCTCCCCTGCAGGCGGGTCTTGTCATTGCAGGCAGTGGAGTCGGCTACAGACAGGAAAATACAGGCGGTGTTCCAAGCTGTGGGCAGCAGCGCCCTGACCCAGCCAGCAGAGTAGATTTGGCTGCTGACAGCTAAACGGATTCCCTTTTCCTCCCACCCCTCCGAGGTGGGGAGCGCCTTGCAGGTGCTCAAGCTGTCGGAGCAGTGGGGCTGGTTGCATTTCAGTCCAGGGCAGCACACTCTGCACCCCTCAACATGCCACCTCCACACGAGCCCTCGGGGCCCCTGGTAGGAGGACGCAGGACAGGCACTGTGCTGCTGACCTTTCCCGCTGACGCCGCAAAGCTGACTGAGAAATCGCCGATGAGCTGCAGCCTAGAAGAAAGTATTTACAAACCATATGTATGTGTGTGTGTGGTGTGTGTGTATACACATGATATGGGACTTGTATTCAGAGCATATAGAGAACTTTCAGAAACTCCGTGCAAAGGAGACAACCCAGTTTTTAAAAATGAGGAAAAGATTTGAATACACTTCACCAAAGAAATGCAGGTAGCTAATTAGCACGTGAAAAGATGCTCATGGTTGTAGGGAGATGTAAATTAAAACCACAGTGAGGTCCCACTTCATACCTACCAGAATGGTGATAATCAAAAGGTGCACAGTGACAGATATCGGTGAGGATGTGGAGAAATTGGAACCCTCAGACACTCCGCTGGGGCTGTGAAATGGCTCAGCCACCCTGGAAGACAGTTTCACAGTTTCTTAAAAGTTAAAACACACCTGTACCGTGTGATCCAGCAACCCTGCTTTTAGGTATTTCCTCTAGAGAGATGAGGGCGTGTTCGCATAAAACACGCCGCATTCATCCACACGACAGAGCAGCACTCAGCAGTAGAAAGGTACAGAGGACTGATACAGGCAGCCACAGGGATGCATCGAAAAGAGAATTATTCCCAACAAGACACCTGATTCAAAAGACTAGATGTCGTGTCATTCCACGTGTCAGAAATTTCTAGAAAAGGCACAGTTTGGAGACAGCCTGGCAGGGGTTTCCTGGGGCTCAGGGTGAGAGGAAGATTGGACTGCGGTTGAACCCAAGGGGCCTTCTTTTTTTTTTTTTTTTAAAGATTTTATTTATTTTTTAGAGAGCAAGTGAGAGAGAAACAGCATCAGAGGGGAGAGGGTCAGAGGGAGAAGCAGGCTCCCCGCTGAGCTGGGAGCCCGATGCGGGACTTGATCCCAGGACCCTGGGATCAAGGCCTTGAGCCGAAGGCAGATGCCTAACCATCTGAGCCACCCAGGTGTCCCCCAAGGGGCCTTCTTGTGGGGAGAGGGCAGTGTCCTAAAACAGTGGCAGGGCTGTTTGCACAAGTGTTTAAATTTACTAAAAATTCCCAAACTTACAACAGATGGGTTATGCAGTATGCAGATTATACCCCCGTAAAGTCATATGGGGACTTCATGTAAAAAGTTTTTGTAATTGTTATGTAATTGTTCCCCTGGGTGCACCTGCCCCATGCCCCCCTCACATAAATGCTGGTGTTTTCCAGGGTTCCATCTGGGCCTTCACTGCATATACTCCCTCCTTCCTACGCCCAGGGACCTTTCCATCAACAGCGCAGATGATGCCTGGCACCTGCCTCTCCATCCCCACTTGGCTCTCCTGGGCCCCCTCTGTTACCTTTCCATCTGTGTCCTCAGCATCCCCCGTTCTAAACTCTGCATCCCCAAACTGAACCTATCACTTGGGCCCCTAAACTTGTTCCTCTTCTTTTTTGTCCTGCCCCAGTGAGAAGTGCCACCCTCCACCCTATGGCCGGGCCAGAAACCACCATTTGGTTTACTGGTCATATCAGTAAGATGACATTCTCTATCAATGGAGTTTCCTCATCACTGCTGGCCACCTGCCCCACCCTTCATCCAGACCCCGGCAGTGGCCTCCTCCCTGGTCCTTACCTCCACTCCCCCCATACCCCACAATTCTCCCAGCATGGAGCTGTTTTCAGTGCCCTGCCCTGGCCTGCAGCACCCTTTGCCCCAATTAAGTTGGTAAACTCAAACTGCACAGGTGGTAGGTACTTTCCCCAGTCTCAGCCCTCTCTATGCATCGTACTTCTTGTGGTAATGGCACATTCATCTCTGCCCAGGTCACCAGCCATGGGGCTCTGCTCACATAGAGGCTTTAGTCAGGGTTTGTCAAGGGACCAAGTGAACACATGTTCTGAGAGGTGCTGGTTCAATTGCACCACGGGGTGGAATCATTGCATGAGGTGCTGGGGCTTGTGCTAGCCGCTGGTGTGTTGTTTTATTTTAAAAAGAAAATTAAGGGGCCCCTGAGTGGCTCAGTTGGTTGGGCATCTGCCTTCAGTTCAGGTCATGATTCCGGAGTCACAGGATCGAGCCCTGCGTCAGGCTCCCTGCAGCAGGGAGTCTACTTCTCCCTCTCCCTCTGCTTCTCCCCTCCTCCACTCATGCTCTCTCCCTCTCACTCACTCTCTCTCTAATAAATAAAATCTTTTTTTTTTTTTAAGATTTTATTTATTTATTTGAGACAGAATGAGAGAGACAGAGAGCACATGAGAGGGGGGAGGGTCAGAGGGCAAAGCAGGCTCCCCGCCGAGCAGGGAGCCCGATGCGGGACTCGATCCCGGGACTCCAGGATCATGACCCGAGCCGAAGGCAGTCGCCCAACCAACTGAGCCACCCAGGCGCCCCTAAAATCTTTTTTTTTTTTTTAAAGATTTTATTTATTTATTTGAGAGAGAGAGAATGAGAGAGAGCACATGAGAGTGGGGAGGGTCAGAGGGAGAAGCAGACTCCCTGCCGAGCAGGGAGCCCAATGCGGGACTTGATCCCGGGACTCCAGGATTATGACCTGAGCCGAAGGCAGTCGCTTAACCAACTGAGCCACCCAGGCGCCCCTCAAATAAATAAAATCTTAAAAAAAGAAGAAAATTAAGGCCACTTTTTTTCTGATTTTGAAAATGTCGGGGAACAAGAATTCCTGTGCCCCTCAAGGGTCCTTTCAGCTGGACTAAGAATCAAATTGACATGAGACCAACTAACAGGAGAAAATTCAGTTTAATAGCGTACACACAGGAAATCCACACAAAGATGGAAATTATAGAGCTAGTCAGGCAAAACGAGGCATATGTGTCATTCTGAACTAAGGAGAAGGGGGTAGGGGTCGGGGAGTTGAGAGGAAAGGAATGCATATCACAGGGCAATAAGAACAGATGTTTGGGGATGCCCAGGTGGCTCAGTTGGTTAAGCATCTGCCAGGGTCCTGGGATCGAGTCCCGCATAGGGCTCCTTGCTCAGCAGGGAGCCTGCTTCTCCCTCTCCCTCTGCTGCTCCCTCTGCTTGTGCTCTTGCTCTCTCTCTCTCTCACAGATAAATAAAATCTTTAAGTAAAGTAAAAAAAAAGAAAAAGAACAGATGTTTGCCCTGCCATACCAATGGCTCACTCAGATAAATTTATTTTTGCTCGTAACCCTTATTTTGAGAAAGGACCCCCCCCCCCCCAATCTAGATTCTTCTGTGTAGTTAAGGCAAGGGCAAAAGTTTCTCTTCAGCTCAGAATAATCTCCATGTCACAGTGGCCCATCTTGGGGCAGCCTGCCCTTGGCCCCCTACAAAAATAACCCCTGCTCTCATAGAAAATGCGGGTATTGTGGAAAAGCGCGGTCACCTTCCCTGTGTTGCCCTTCCACAGATCTGTACTGCACCCTGGAGGTGGACTCCTTTGGTTATTTTGTGAATAAAGCCAAGACACGCGTTTATAGAGACACAGCGGAGCCCAACTGGAACGAGGTGAGGTACTACTGGGCATGTCTTGCATGCTGGCCCTGGCAGGCAGGCCAGGATCTTGTCCTTGGGGAGAGTCTGAAACACCCCCCCGCCCCGCCCCACCCCTAGGGCTCCCTGATGGCTTCCCCCCTCTGTGCCAACCCCCCAACCGCCCCCCCCCACAGGCGCCGCCACCAGCATTCCACCAGCATGCCGGGAATCTCCTGGGAGGAGAGGGGGGACTAGTCCAAGAGATTTTATCTCTGTGTTCCTGAGAATCCAACCCCCCCCCAGTTACAAAGAAACAGCTTATTTTGCTGGAGAAGCTTTTGGAAAACGAACTTAAAAGGGCTTTTTGTGCTGCCTTTGTTATTGCTTAGTGTTTACTTGGTAAGTTTCCATAGCGTTTTTCCTTGGAAGTTGGAATGAGCCCTGTGATCCTCTTGGTTTCTGGAAGCCTGGGGCTCTGCCAGCTGTGGCTGGGGTAGGGACCTGATTTGCCTGTCCCCCGGTATTGGGTTTGTATAGTTTGCTGCTCTGTTCTCCTTCACCTTGGAGAGCTGTTAACTCGCTTACCATCTTGCCTTGAGCCTTTGGGAGTACGGGAATGATTACTGATTAAGTCGCCACATCCGTGAGAATGCCATTTCCCAGTCTCTGGAGCAGCTGTGGCCCTCAAAGGCCTCATGCTTGAAGATATGGGTGGGGGCATACCTCCCACCCCCTGCAGAAGCAGCAGCTAAGTCCCACCTGGCTGCCTGGTCCACCTCGGGTCATGTGGCTCGTGAGCCCCCAGCTCTCCTTTCTTGGTGTGCCCTACTCTGATCATCAGACTCGATGCCTTAGTAGGACTGGGGCACGGGGAGCCCATAGGATTGCCCGGGCATGATAGCCCTGGGCGTCCCTGCAGAAAGGGTGGGGGCTGCCACGGCAAGGGAGCAGCACAGCCAGGTGGAGCCACCAAAGGCTTTGCAGGGAGCAAGAGGGCCGTGACTGACAGGGGCAGTGAGGGAGGGGTCCTGGACACAGCACAAAGGGTTCAGGTGAGGGCCGGCAACGGAGGCTCAAGGGACCAAGGCATGGAGGGTTCCAGACCAGCGGGTCACTGGTGGCCGGCCTGCGTGTGCATCTGGATCGTCCAGGAGTGTTGCATGTTCCTGGCATACATGCCCTCCCCACCCCGATGCAGGCTCAGAAATCTCTCCTTTTTTCTTTTCCGTCACCCTCTTCCCATTTCCCCACCACAAACCTGTGCCTGCGACAGCACTGGTGTGAAATGCAGAATTTACCGAAGAAATCCTGGGGCGATGGGGGAGGAAGTTATCACCGCACATCCCACAGCAGGCAACTCAGAAGCCTACCAGAACAGTTCTTTCCTCTCTCCTGTATCACCTCCCTGGGTCGATTTTTTTCTTCCCCTTTCAAATAGACTGACTTTTTAGAGCAGCTTTAGGTCCACAGCTTTAGGTCCAGAGCAGAAAGGACAGAGATGTCCCACATACCCACTGTCCCCAAACATGCACAGCCTCCGCCACTAATCGGTGATCCTGCACTGACACATCATTATCACCCGAAGTCCATAGAACATCTGCACTTGTAACCACCACCCCTGAGCTTCTGATGTAGGTGGTGCGGGGACTGTCCTTTGACATTCTGGCTTAGGGAGTTTGGATTAGGTGTTAGAGGCATTCAGAGCTTCCAGAAGCATCCAGACTGGGCCATAGTGGGGTGCTCACAGGGAAGTAACTTCTGAGGGTCTTTGTCGCAGGACTAAAGCGGAGAGGGTCTCGAGGCATGGGTCCTCCTGGGGCACCAAGGAAGCCATTGGACCTGTCTGCTAGTGACAGACTTTCCTTCTTTCTTGGGACTTCAGGAATTTGAGATCGAGCTGGAAGGCTCCCAGACCTTGAGGATACTGTGCTATGAAAAGTGTTACAACAAAACGAAGATCACCAAGGAGGATGGCGAGAACACAGACAGGATCATGGGGAAGGGCCAGGTCCAGGTAAGGCCACCACCCTCCTCTGCCCCCCCTCATATACCTGCCCCTGGACCTGCCCACACCCTCCTCCGGATGTTCCCAGTTCTTTCCCCAGTTGACCTTCTGGGACACGGAGATGGCCTGGCTCCAGGGATTGGGGGCAGGTGCCCCTGGACTTGCAAAGGGACCCTCACAGGTCCTTTCCTGCCCCTCTCTGTGTTTGAGTGTCTTGTCCCCAAAAGAAGTTCAGTTTGGCTTGTTCTCACAGCAGGGGCCTCAGTTTCTCCATGGCCTTGTGTTTCCTGTGGCTCACCTGTGCAGTTCTGTGCCCCATTGGGGGGAAGCCCTGATATCCATGTTCCTTAAGGGCCTCTTACCAGACCCAGCCGAGCAGGTTCCTCCCTGCCCTGCCCTGGGGGTGGGCACTGACTGCTCCCACTCCTCTCTGACCCTCGGACCCTCTGGTAAAGCCCCCAGCAGGAGTGGGCTGGGCATTCCAGGTGTCTGTGGGAGAAGGGGGCTCTCCATGAAGCCCCACCTCCCTTCTCTGAGGGCAGGAAGTAAAATCCTTTTGTGCTGAAATACTGAGCAGCAGGGATGAAAGAGAGGGAGGGTGACTCACCCCTGAGTAATTTCGTCCCCTGAGTAATTTCGTCTTCTGGTGGGGGGTGTGGGGCACATGCTCATCCTTCAGAGGAGCAAGTCCTCACTTAGTGGGGGCTCCAGACCCCCTCTCTGTTTCACCAGGTTCTCAGGTTCTGGTTCCCCAGGTTTTCACAGCTGCCTAATTTCCCACCCTGGAAGCTTATTAGGGAATTCAGTGGCTCAGGGCCTCCAGGGACCCCTCCCACCCTGTACCTTGAGACCAGGTCTAAAAGCAAAAATGCTCCTCTGACTGCCTTATTCCTACCCTCCCCGACCTGCCTTCTAGCAGACACCACCCCATACCCCGCACCTTCCCAGGAGAGCAGGCCCAGGGCCTCAGCCGCCCCCACAGACAGGACCTGGGGCTGGACTCTACTGAAGTCAGGGGTAGGACCGGCCTGGGGCAACACTCCAGTGAGTCCACTAAGGTTTGGGATGCACATTGGGGATCAGTTGGGGCAGCCTTATCTGACATAGGGAAAGCAGGATTATTGGCCCCTCTCTCAGATGGTATAACTGGGGTGCAGGGGGTTCCCAAACAGACTTCAGCTACTCACCGCTGATAAAATCCGAAGGCAGAGAGACGAGAGATGGTGAGACAAGAAAGGGATTTACTTCAGCGAGGCCACCACCAGGAAGACAGCAGGCTAGTGTCTCAAAGACGGTCTCCAAAGTGCTAAAAATACTTGCAGGTTTATAGAAGGAAAGTGTGGGACAAAGGTTGGTGGTGGGCAGTGAAGGTCAGGTGGAGCATTGTCTTGGGGTCAGTCACGTGGCGTCTTGCCGAATTCCAGGCAGTCCTTACTGCTTGAGGGGATAGCTTCGGTTCTCATCACAGGTTGCTTTGCCCGCAGGGTCTTTTGCCTGAGTTAAGAGATAAGCTGGAAAGAAGAACGTAGTCAATGAGGAAGTGCGGACTGAGGTCGAAATGAAGGTGGTTGAAATCCTCTGTCAATGGGCATGGTCTTCTTTGAGGGCCAGCTGCTGGTCCAGGGCCACCCGGTAGATGTCCTGGACCTGGGTCCTACCTGTGGCTTAGATGCTGAGGGAGAAGGGGATGGTTCCTCCTTGCTCCCTATCAGCCTGGTACACCATTGAGCCAGCTGTAGGGGTCTCGGTAGCAAAGGGCTTCTGGATAGAAGAAACAGAAATGCAGGCCAGCGCTTTTCAGCTATTCCACTTTCGGGGTCCTATCCAGGGATCTTTGACAAGTCAGGTCCCTTCCCCAGCCATGAGCTGGGCATGGGCCCCACCTTGACAGATGCGTGTGCCCACTGCGAAGTTGGGGTGGCGTCTGGGGGTGGCTCGCATGCTCAGTGCGGACACTCACCACTTTGCAGCTCATGTGCGTTGACGCCCCAGTGTCCTTGAGATCCAACCCCATATGTCCACATAGATTCCGTTCACTTTCTTGGCTTGATAGAGAATCCCATGGATTGAGTCAGCCATATCAAGGGGCTCTTCTGCTCTTGATGGACACTAAGGGGTTTCCCAGCTTTTGCTGTTCTGTGAGCAGCTGGTGCTGGACATCTTTGAGGACTGACATGTTTTGGCACCTAGTGGGCAACAGTCACAGCTCGGGCCCTTTGAGTTTTCAGACTCTGCTCTGCTGCTCAACAACTAATGTGTTCCCCTTGCTCCCCCCCTCCACATTTGCATCTGTCCCCAGCCCCAGCGTCCCTCCCGCACACTCACGCCCTGACCCCCCCCCCCGCCCCGTCTTGCAGAGAGCCCCAAGGCAAGCTAAGGATGCACACGGACTGGGTGTCCGGCTCCTTTTTTCAGTCCATCACACAAGACTAAGGGAGGCTCAGATTCCACCGACCTTTGACTTGACTCATCCAAATCCTCCAATGCTAGAGTTCTGGGGTGGTAAGATTTGAACCAGGGCCTCTGAGCACTGTCACTGGATAACTGGGCGTCTCAGTGGAAAAGAGAAAAGAAAGGATACTCATCTTCTTCTTTCATTCTGTCGAGCCTTCTCTGGAAACCCTTTGCCATGATACTACTGGACATGAACAAAATACTCCTTTATGAGCACAGCCTGTGCTCTTAGACACACCGGGGGTGCCAGGTGAGCACCCTGCCCTGTCCCAGGGAAGAGGAGAGCAGTGGGGTCGTGGGGGCTGGCTTGGGGCATCTCTGAGCTTCAGCTGTTCTCTGCCCCTTTCTGCCCTCTGACCCCAGTCTGCATTTCCCCATGCAGGCGCTCTGAGGGGTGCTCCTCAGCAAACACTCTCCCTTCCTATTCCTTCCAGTAGGACAAGATAGGACAGGAGTGGAGGACATGGACTCCATTAAAAAAAAAAAAGAGGGGCGCCTGGGTGGCTCAGTCGTTATGCGTCTGCCTTCGGCTCAGGTCATGATCCCAGGGTCCTGGGATCGAGCCCCGCATCGGGCTCCCTGCTCCATGGGAAGCCTGCTTCTCCCTCTCCCACTCCCCCTGCTTGTGGTCCCTTTCTCTCGCTGTCTCTCTAATAAATAAATTAATTAAATCTTTAAAAAGGGGCGCCTGGGTGGCTCAGTCGTTAAGCGTCTGCCTTCGGCTCAGGTCATGATCCCAGGGTCCTGGGATCGAGCCCCACATCGGGCTCCCTGCTCCGCGGGAAGCCTGCTTCTCCCTCTCCTATTCCCCCTGTTTGTATTCCCTCTCTCGCTGTGTCTCTCTCTGTCAAATAAATAAACAAAATCTTTAAAAATAAATAAATAAATAAAATTAAAAAAAAAAAAAAAAGAAATTGTACATGACCTTGTTAGAACATCAAGGTTGACTATATTCAGCTGGATACAGGTATAGGGACCACTGCAGTGGGGTTTTGCAGCAGGGGAGAGAGATGGAGCCCAACTCTGAATATGACAAAGAGAGAGGGAATTTATAGCCAAGGAGCGGGGTGTGGGGGATCATCAGTTGGAAGTTACTAAAGGGAAACATCGGGGGTAAAGGGGGATTCTGGCTAAACCAACCTAATGGGTTCCTTGCTGAAAGCAGGCTGGGGCAATCAGACATCACCCAGGGGTGGTGGGGAGTGAGGAGTCTGGTCGCTTGTCAAAGGTAATCAGCTATCAAAGATATCGGGGTGGTTCTTGCTAAAATTGGGCGCTTGGGGACATTCCCAAGAACGAGGTTTGGCTGGAAAACAACTCAGAGGAGCCTGACTGGTGTGGCCCAAGGGAGACCCTCTGTCCACTCCCTCAGCCCCAGTGCACCTCCTGTGAGTTGGGGCAAGTCGTCACTGCCTGGATAAACGTATTTCCTCGCGTGTAAACTGGGGCCAGGGGCCACGGAGCCGGGCGCGGGGTCTTCAGTGGCCACTGCTGCTATATTACTCAGTATCGTTACTGCTGGTGGAGAAGGCGGACTCTGGTTCCACCCCGTCGTCCGGGTCTGCTTCCATGGAAGAGCTGAGTGAGTGGGAAGCCTGGCCCCTGAGCCATCATTAGCCAGGAAGGAATCCCAGCATGACACAAGGTCCGTTTGTGACTCACACAGAGTAGGCAGTGGCTGGCCCTGCCCCTGGAGACCCCCATTCCCGGTGGGGCCTGTTTATGAGCCGGCATCCCCAGGATCAAGAAGGCAGGAAGTCAGAGGAGGAGCGGTGATGGCCCCCTGTGGCCCTAGCCAGGCTTCCTTCCGCCTTCCCCAACACCCCCCCCCAGCCCGACACTGGGGCACACCTAAGGGAGGGAGTCCATGACTCTGAGTGGGGGCTTTTCCCAATAATATCAGGCCCCTTCCCAGTATGCCATGTGGGAGGGACATAGAGCCCTGCCCGTCCTGTTGCTGGGGTCAGGGTGGGGGGGTGGGAATAGCATGGCCTTCCTCCCTCCGCCAAGTGCTTCCCACCCCCCAACCCAATATGTACATTGACTCATAAGCTGAGTGTAAAGCCCTTCCTGTGAGGTGGGGAAGGTGCAGCACCCCAGGAGTGTCTACGGGGGGCCAGGGAGAAGTCCACAGCTGACCAGGAGGGCAGAGGCTGGGGAGGCCCCTCTGAGGGGCCAGGGATGGAAATAAAGTCTCCAGCAAAGCTGCTCACACACCTGCCTGGGCAGAAGGGGTCAGAGTCATGTGGGGAGCTGGGTCCCAATTTCCTGGGGCTAGATCGGTCTATCTTCACTCCTCTGCATGGTACTGCTGAGCTAAGGGTTCAGAAACCACCAGTCTGAGTCTCAGGTTTCAGCCTTTGCTCTTCAGATGATTAGCCAGATCCCCATTTCCCCTCCTCAACGATGGAATCTCCATGAGAGGAGGATGGAGGGCTCCCCCTCCCAAACGCAGGATGAGTGAGTTGGTTTGTTCAGAGCATCAGGTCATACCAGACAGAAAGGCAGAAGGACATAGTGTATAACAGGGATGCGGCCCTGGGGGCACCAGCTGT